GCGTCGTTGATCGTCGACTGTCGCCTCGACGACCCGTTGGTCGAGCGTTCTCGGGGTGGCGCCGCGAGTCTGGTTGTAGTGTTGACCGTGGGAACCCCCTACTGTGACCGGATTCTGACCCCGGGCAGAGATTGGACGTCGGGTGTAAGAGTGCAGGGGAGTCGTTTACTGCGGTAGGATCCTAAAAACATCCTTGGGCCCGCGGTTCGCAGTCGCGGATCAATTCCGCATACCCCACGCGCCCCTAGACGTGGACACGTCGTAGGACTGAGGTTCGGACCCTCCCCGGAAAAAAAATATGTATATTATTTATACGATGTCTACGAAAAATAAAATAAAAACACAATCCAACAAAAAATTTGCACAGTAATTTCTTCGGATTTCACGATTCAACATTATAGGTTGGGGAAAAGCCTTTTCGCATTATAGTATGCTATGAACTTGTAATAAAATCTTTTGGGCTAGACTATTTGTATCTGGCTGGTTTTGGTATCAATTAAAGTTTAAACTTTAAAGAAGATAATTCCAAATTCAAATTAGGAAAATGTGTGATTTTTTATTTATTTTTCGTGCTGTCAAGATGAGTGAATCTAATGAAGAGATTCGACACATTTTTAAATTTTACTAGAAATAAGGAAAAAATGCAACGAAAGCCGCGAAAAAAATTTGCGATGTTTATGGACCTAATGCAGTGTCGGTGAGAGTAGCACAAATTTGGTTTAAGCGTTTTCAATCCGGAAATGTTGATGTCAAAGATGCACGTCGCTCTGGTCGCCCTATTATGGATATAAAATGGATGCCATTTTTGAAAAAGTGGAGCAAGATTGGCATATCAGTAGTTACGACGTAGCTGAAGAACTGGGAATTGACCACAAAACAGTTTTGGCTAATTTGAAAAAAACTGGTTACACAAAAAAGCTCGATATTTGGGTACCTGACGAGCTCACTGAAAGAAACCTAATGAACCGTGTACTCATTTGTGATTCTTTATCGTAATAAACGTCGTAACGTAATGATTAAAGCAAAAAGTTAAGAGAAAGCGGCCGGAATTAATCAACAGAAGGGGTGTGGTTTTTCATCATGATAACGCTAGACCTCACACATCTTTAGCAACTCAGTAAAAACCATAGAGTTACTATTCTAACACTTATTAACTCCATGGTAAAAACTAAGAGTTTGTCTCTAATGTCACTTTTTAAAATAATGTTGCCACATTTAAAGTCATATTGATGCGTTCAGTTCTCGTTCAATCAAATGAATGAACAATGAGTGTGAATAGTTAATCATTTCAAACTATAAAAGAATGTTATTTCTATTTTACAATATAATTGTATTAAAGTGCTCCGATATAAGTTACTAGTAGTATGTAACTACAATGAGTTTTTTTTTCATTACCTACATATAATTTTTATATTTTATACATCTATAGTTTCAACTACATGATGTATTGAAAGTAGGACAATCTTACAAGTTTCCTCGCAAAGTTTTCCTTAATGTTTAAAACACTCGGTATTCAGTATAGGTAGATACTATAGGAACATAATCGTCGAAAACTCGTTGGTAAGTACAAAGCACGACTAAAATTCGAATCCAGTACCCGATATCGGCATTTCGGCACACTAACTATTCACTAGACAATCGAGGTAATTTCTTTCATTCAGGAGTTCTTTCAATCATTCACTTTGTCACAACACTATTTTTATTTCATCAAAAACTGACAACACTGTAAACGTCAGTTGACTTCGTCTAATAAAAAATACGACTACTAAATTCAGAGGAACTGTGTTCGTAATTTTAATTTAATATTATCTGGAAATGACTGGAAAGTGTGTGTCTTTAACGCAGAAATTTCATAATACCCAATAGATAATATACCAAACGTAACGGATCTGCTGAAATCTTGAAATTTGGTTTTGTTCCTGTTTATAATAAATTACTAGCAAAATGGATAAATATGCTTTGCCAAATTTACCTACACCACAACATGTACTTGAAGACGCTTCCGACAGTGAAATTTTGAATCTTACATATTCATTTAAGTTACAAACCGATGATGAAGCATTGCAGAATGCATATTCTTGTTTTAAAAACTGTAAACAGCTGGAAGCAGATTCAGTCAAACAAAACGATTTGAATATTAAACTTCAAGAGCTTAACAAAAAGTTACTCGAAAGCATTGCAAATATGAAAGCTCAGACAAAGTGAAATAATATACTTTATTTATATAAAAAATTCTAAGGTAAAATCAATATAATTAAAGAAATTCAAATGGTGATGAATATAGGAGATTTTAATTTTATTGTTGCTATTAAGGAAGACCCTCTATGATCTCCTTCCTCCTGATATTCCTCGCCCCATTGATCTCAAATCTCTTCTTTCCCTTGTCAACTCCCCTTTCGTTTATATTCTTAGTTCATTCATTAACCATAATAATATTAAGCTGTAGTTTGTCTGTCTGTTATCGAACTAACCCCTGTATATATATGTTGTATGTATATTGTTTTAGGTAAATCTACAGAGATCCTGTCATCAAACATTCTTAGCTACTCACTTAATTCTTAGTGAAAATCTGTGACCTTGCTCGTTCACGAAGTCCACTATAGAAAGCAGAGTATTAAATACACTTGACATTGGCGAAATCTAAAAGGAAACGCCATAAACCTAAGAGATAGATAGATATTATGGAAGAGTTGAATGCTGTCTGAAAAGAGAACTGGAGGTTGGACTAGAAAATAGTTTAATACAAAACATATTGATACATCTTTTTTTTATTGCCTTTCTAGATATATAACCCACCTGATGGTAATCATTTAATTCACATCAATTTATAGCTATTTTATGACATCATTTTGAGCTTCTCATTTTAGCAAGCAAATCATAATATATTTGTAAGGATTAAATGCAGCCTGTTTCCTCTTGGTGTATTTAATAGAAAATAGTTTTTCTGTTTATAATATGTGTTGTGCAGTTACTAAATATATTTTTATTATATTTGTATAAAATGAAAGGTGCAAAATCCCACTCTAGATTCTAGGTTTTAGTTTTCTCCATTGTGCCCCTTCAGCTGCAGTGTCGATATCACCCATTACATTTTGAGATTTACTAGTAAATATCGTCTTCTCATCTTTCGAGTTAAAGCTACAAAGAATATGCATTCTTTTCTTGCTTCGACAAATTTAAAAAAAAAAAAAAAAATCCACACTGTTTGATGATAGTTTCAGTGTCTCGTTTGCATGAATCTAAAAATTTATGTATTTTCTTCTGAGGAATCCTAGGAACAATCTTCATTGATCTTGAGGATTTTATAAAATATTTTATTATATCTCCTCGATTTATTCATGATTACTAGAAAAGGGGGGTTGGTCAACATAATAACATGGCTAATTACCATTCTATTGTGAATACCTACAATAAGCAGAGACTACAAGAACTGAAACTTATGGACAGTCTGTCTGGACAATTTGTACACTGTAGATGCAGCACTCATACTCTTTTCTTTTCTATTTGCGATAAGAATTAAAAGTTGAGTGGCAAATCGAGATAACCTTAGGTGCCTGCCCGGGATTCGAACACCGGTGCATCGCTCAATACGAATGCACCAGACGTCTTTATCCTTTAGGCCACGACAACTTCATAAAGTGTGTAAGGTTCATAAGGTGAACCGGAGGGATTGGTGCTTAAATCTCTCTTGTGGAACAACAGCTACGACTGGGTCCTGCGAGGCGCCCTTCACCGTCCTCTCCCAGTTTGAACATAGTTTGTTATGTGGACGGCATTTTGGTCGTGGCCCAAAAGAAGAGTTTGCGCGAGTCTGCCCGTCTTACCTGCGCGGGGGTGGCCTTCGTCATCGGCAGCGCTCGATAAATCCCAGGCCCTGTTGTTTCACCGAGCCTGGAGATCGGCGCCCCAGGGCGTCCACCTCGTGATCGCGGAGGTCCGTTTCGAGATCGAGGCGACCGGGTTGCGGTACCTCGGTCTGGACTGGACGGTCGTTGGAGTTTTCGTGCTCACTTCGAAAGATAGGGCCCCCCACTGATGGCTATCGCCGGTTCGCCGACTCGGCTGCCGATCGTCGGGGGTCCGACATGGTGGTGCGCCGCCTCTACACGGGGGTGGTGCAGTCGATAGCACTGTACGGGGTTCTCGTGTGGTGCCACGCCGCGGCGTTGCGACTTCGCAGCGCGCGATTGCGGTTAGAGCAGTTCGCAGGTACCGCACAGTCTCGTTCGAGGTGGCGTGCGTGCTCGCCGCGACGCCTCCCTGGGACCTGGAAGCGGAGGCGATCGCTGTTGATTACGCGTCGTGACGCGACCTCCGCTCCATGGGGTAACCGCGGCCCGGCACCGCAGAAGTTCGAGCGTGGAAGCTGCAATCTCGGCGTGGTTTCATCGCTTGGCGGACCGCGCCTACGGGCGACGGACCGTCGAGGCGATTCACTCGGCTCTCGGACTGGATGAATAATACCATAAATTAAATTATATAAATGAAAGAATTACATAACTATACAAAATGTTGATAACGGAATCGGTTTAGATTAGAAAACAGAACACTAATCAATAAACAAATTACTGAATATGAAAACAGGTTTCCCTATTTTTTATATAAAATTCATTTGAATTTTGAATTTATTGCCAGCCATACATAAATTACGTTTCAAATGGCTAGTTTGTAAAACGGAAGTTGATTTTGGTTGATTATAATATAAAATATATTGGAGGATGTATCTTTTTGTAAGCATAACAAAATATCGTTAAATTATAAAATAAACCAAAATAAAGTTCCTTAGTTACACAAGGGAGAAATAATCAGGTAGTGAACAGATATTGGTATAAATCTATGGTATATATAATATAATATATTATAATAAAGTATAATATACACACTATGTAAGTAGCTACCATCACAATGGATTTGTTAATTGCATATTAGTTGTATGTAATAGATTTTGGATCTCTTAAAAATTTGTTGTGTGTGTATATGTAAATAATAAGACACTCCAATTAAGTAAATTACTTTATTATACTTCCTGTTTTAATTAATTCATCTTCTGAAACAATCCCTAAATGATGCAAACATACTAAAGCAGCACCTTGCTCTGCAAATTTTTTATTTTTTTCCCAAAATGTTGATGTATACTTTTTCTCATTAAATGTCACTATTGTACGAAACAGTTTCTCAATATGTTGAGTGTTATACTTTGGCAAACTGTACCCATTCTTTCCAGCCCAAGCATGAAGTCTGCTTTTAGGTAGATTCAAGTCATTGAAATTTGCTCGAATAAAGGATACCTGTAAAATGTATTTAAAAACAGTTTAAAAACAAAGAGAGATGGGAAGCCAAAATAAATATAATTATTTTTTCACCATTTCAGTGCAAAGTAAAAAGATATTGTCATCAGCCTTTGATGATTAAAATAAAATTATGAAGTCAATTGGAAGTCTTGAAGTTAGCGAAACAAATGTTGAAAAAATCCATTACATTGATAGTTACAGGTTAAGCTAATAAAAGTATAAAAATAAAAGTTACTTGCAAAATACATACAAATCATATTTTTGAATATTGTAATTTTATTACATTAATTTTATATCCATCCAAAAGTTTAATTAAAACCTTACTTTCATTTGTATTGCATCACACAAATCTTCTTCATTATAATGTTTTGCCTTTTTTTGTGGAGGTTCTAGTTGTTTAGGACAGACTTGCCACCTTCCTTGAATCCCCATCTTTTGGAACTGTGATTGTTTTTCTAAACAGTATCCTCCTAAATCCCAAATGGAGCTAATAAATATTAATATTAAGTATTAAGTCCAGTAAATAATATAAAAACATTAATTACTTACAAAATTTAACATACCATATTTGCTCTAAAGTTTGACTCTCCAAGAACTGTCTTCCTCTAGGTGTTTCTTGCAGATCTCTTAAAATGTTTTGAATGCAGTACTTTGTATTTGAAGGTGAATTATCATAATCAACGGCTAGTTTAAGATAATCTTTTATTACAGTATCCATCGGTAATAATCCTTCTTTTCTGAATATTGAACAATTCCATTCTGCGGCACGAGCTAACATCACACTACTTGAACCAGTCATCTCTTTGAATTTAGCTATATCACTATGCTTTTCAATTTCTTTAGATCCTCCACTGCAAGCATATTACAATATTTTACTGTATATTCTTCTTTCATACCATAACAGAATTATTACAGTATTATCTTGTTTACCTACTTTGCTATGACTGGAATTGATATGTTATCTGCAACATAATGAATAATGTCAGTATGGACAGCATGCTGTGGTCTCTCATCTTTCGTACGACCATGCACAGCTATTGCCTTGATTCCTGAACTCACCAATTTATTTACCAACTCTAAAGTGGCTTCTGGTGTCTTCAGTATTCTTATCTTACATGTCACAGGAATAGATAAATTGTCAACTAGTGTTTTTAAAATTTGATAAGCCTTATCTGGCTTTGACAATAGTGCCACACCCATGCCACCTTTTATAGAAAATTCTTTTGGGCATCCCATATTAATATCTATTGCTGCCACATCATGTTCCCTGTAAAATTTAATGAAACTAAAGTACATCTCTCTTTAGTTTCTATTCAAAGTTATTGTGTTATGTTTGTTTTAGATGGCCAGATGAAGGTCAAACTCATCGCTTGTTAAATTGTTATTGAAGCCTTGACAAATAAAGTAGAAGTCATCACATTAAGCCAATCTAGCGAACTCTATGTTACTTGAATAGATAGGCAAAAAATATTTTTACTTGAAGAAGTCATGCTGGCTTTGTTGCAGAATTAGGTCGGTAGTAGTGCCAATTTGTGCAGATTCTACTTCTAATAAAATGTATTTATAATGTGTAAAACAATAATCAGTGGTTTGCAATGCAATTATTTTATATTAAATTATTATGAAATCTTAAATACTTAAGGAGTAAAAAAGTGTTTTTATTTATTGAAAGATATGCATAACTCACACTAATTTGGCGACCTTTAAAGCTCTGGCTTCATCACACGTCCCGAGTTGTAAAACCACTTTTTTCTTTTCTTCTTCACAAGTGCGGAATACAATAGTTCCATCTGTTTGATCAACATAATCTACTGTGTTAAGTATGTCTGAAATTAAGTATAAATAATATATTACTAGGATACACTAACGATTTAATCTATGGTTTACAAAAACCATATTATTTTTCATTAAACTTTGTAAGAAACGTGAAATAGGTTAAAATTTTATAACCTATGAAATAATTGTTGAAGTCGAAACTGGATCGAATTTAAAGCCTATGAAGTTATTATAGAACAATTCAAGTTAATGTTATTTGTTATGGCACCACTTACCGTTAAATCTTCTCTTAGATCGTAAAAACTTCCAGTCTATAAGCTCTTCAGTATAAACAATGTCAGCACCGTATTTTAGAGCCAAAAGTCTCATTGGCAATGTTCCTATTCTGACCATTGGCGCAAGTATTATTTTATTTTCGTAATTCATGTTTATGGGAAATTGTAACAGAATCGATTGGGTAATCAACGTTTTAAATCGACACCTCCGAATTAAATAATGAATGGTGTAAATCCCATACAAAGGAAAATAACATACAACTAGCGTCATCTTACTCCTGTGGCGACGTCATTTTTGTAACTTTTAGGCATTAATGATCTAATAAACTCACTAGATGGCAGATATGAGTTCTGACTCAATAAAAAATGTAGCGTACTTTGAAGCAGTGCTTCCACTTTTAGGGAATTCTCCCTTTTTTAGGGAAAAATAGCTGATATTTTGGATGATAAAGACAATTTAAAAAATACCAGGATTTAGGATATTTCGGGGTAAAAAGCAAAGCCTATACTAGTAACTGTTGTGAATTTTAAAATAAACGATAATTAAAGTAAAACAATGAACATTTTATTTTATGGAGAGAGAATGACATTAAGTCGAGTTGACAAGTAAAAGAATAAAACAGAGTTGTGTATAAAAACTATAAAGGTTTGATTCAACAGTAACCCTCTAGNGTCATGATCTGTCACGATCAACTTTAAGCAAGAACTGCTATAGTTAAGAAACAAATTTATTAAATTTAATTCAAATTGTCCACTATGTTTGTAATGGAAAGCTGACATGTTTATATTTCGCACAAATGACTTAAGTGACATTGAATGATTTGATTATCTAGACTTAATTAACTTTTAGATAACTTTCGATTTAATGTTATTAAGTACTCTAGTAGGATTAATCTAGAGGAGTTATTGTTATTCGAAATTTTATACAATTGTACGTTCATACTATCTTTTAACAGTAAATTGTTTGTAATATAGGGAAATTAAATAGCTTACAGAGAATTACAGCTTTTTATTTAAAAAAAACTGTTTTCTCTCTGTATGAAAAGGTCTTATCGATTAGAATGCTGAACACAATCAAACGTTCTTTAATATTTCATAAGTACTACCGGGAATTTCAGCGATTCTAAACGATAAGATTTTTTCATAAAGAGAGTTAATTATAAAAAATATTAAAATTACTAAAAAAGCCACCTGGTGGGGGGTAGGGAGACTAATAATCGACAGCAGCGACGCCTGCTGTCCCGGGCTCTAACTAAAGCAAAAATAAAAATGAGAGTTGCGCATCTATCTCAAATATATTAAGTGTATAATCTATGGTGTAAATACTATAATTACATAGTACAAGTGACAAGTGTATTATTTATATTATCTATGCTTCTGCTTTTTTTTTAGGGATTTTATGACCTGGTAACTAAGACCTTTAAGTCGTCTTATTTTAATTTTTATTCTTATTTTTATGAAAAATGATAATATGGAGTGAAATGAAATGATATAGGATGAAATATAATCTCAGTAAAATGGTGGTCATTTACTGAGATTTTTTCAGTGGAATTTTTAGAGGATCCCGAGAAGTTCTTCATCTAATTTCATCCCAGTTGATTAATATCTCAAATTAATCATCTTCATTTCATTTCACTCCATATATTTTTTTTTTATTGACCTTGTAGGCAGACGAGCACACGGCCTACCTGATGGTGAGTGGTTGCCATCGCCCATGGACTTCAGCAATGCCAGGAGCAGAGCCAAGCTGCTGCCTAAAATTCCTATGCCTATTATCATTTTTCATAAAGATAAGAACATAAATTAAAATAAGACATGACTTAAACGTCTTAGTTACTAGGTCATAAAATCCCTTAAAAAAACCTGTCATAACAGTGCAATATTTTTTAAATTGTAAAATTTATGTGAAGTCGCACACAGAATAGTGATTGTCTTATTTATTGTAAATACTACAGGGAATCAAAGACAAGCACATTAACACCAGACAAAAAGTTAAATACTACTTCTAATCGAATTACGTTTGAACCTATAAAATGAAACCAACTATTGCTGCAGACGAAATGTTTCCCGAAGGAGTTGGACCATATATGGATTTAGAGGAAGTACGTATTTGTTATTAATAAATGATTATGAGGTACTTTTTATTTGTAAAATGATTACATTAGGAGATAAATAGTATAGAAGCAAGTCCAGTAATACTCAATAACAAAATTGAGTGATTTTTCTTTTGACCATTACATTTAGTTAAAGAAATTTAATAGATATTTTGAAATTTAACTTGTAATGAGAATATATCCCTCGTCCTTTCTTATTATTGCTTTCCTAGCTTCACCACCTTTTCAGTTGATTTGGTGTTTTTAAATAAATCAGTGGCACAGCAAATATAAGATGGTTGACAAGGCTTGTTTTATATTTTGATCCACTAGCCTTTATCTTCAATCACTATATTTAATCAAGTTTTTTCCCCTACTTCATTACTGGTAGTATAAGGGATTATCCCAGCTGTTCACAAATTGGTAAGTGAACTCACAAGCTCAACCTGAGAGAATTTGCTAACATTGGTTTTAGCAAGTGTAGTGCTTCCCAGAATCTACCCTTAGATTGGAATCTCGATCCACTGAGAATATCCAGTGGGAAACTGTGTGGTTTGTATTTATGGGCTAATTTAATCTTTTTTTTATTGCTTAGATGGGTGGACGAGCTCACAGCCCACCTGGTCTTAAGTGGTTACTGGAGCCCATAGACATCTACAACGTAAATGCGCCACCCACCTTAAGATATAAGTTCTAAGGTCTCAGTATAGTTACAACAGCTACCCCACCCTTCAAACCAAAACACATTACTGCTTCACGGCAGAAACAGGCAGGGTGGTGGTATCTACTCGTGCGGACTTACAACAGGTTCTATCACCAGTAAGTAAAAAATCATGGTTTCTTTCAATCTATGAAGGGATTCTGAGAAATTTTGACATGTTTAATTGCTCTTTGATGCCATTTATATGACTTATGTTTGGGTAATGCACAAGCTCTGCAGCTTAACTGCAGTCATTATAAGTTCCAGTATAATTTCGTAAAAGAGGAACCCTTGTAGCTAAGTTACCACCAGTATTATAGGTACATTGCAATACAAATTTACATATTTTGTAAAATACTGTAATTGGTAAATTACAGATACCAGGACTGAAATTTTTTGTGTCTTTTTTACTGTAGAAGAGTATAAATGAACTCATGACCTATTTGGTGTAAAGTGGTTACTGAAACCCTTATAACCCGCAATGTGAATACTGCCAACCACCATTATACTTGAGGTCGAAGTATTATATTATCACTGTTTCAAACTATGAACTGGAAACCATAACTGCTTTCTATTAAGAGTAGATAGGATGATGGTGGAAAAATAAGTTATTGAGTATTGAGTACTGTAATTGGAAATAGTTCTAAAGAAGTACTACTTACTACTGTTACTAAAGCTGCTCTACTCATAAAAAAAAATTAACAACATTAAAGAATGGTCTAAATATAGGAAACTTTATTTTTGTTAGAGGTATTGATAAGAAAATGCTAAATTTGCATTAATTTGCAGGCTGGAGGACCATCTAATCTACTTATGGATTTGGCTGCTAATGAGAAAGCAGTGCATGCCGATTTTTTTAATGGTAATGTTTAATTTTTGTGATACTGTTGAATCAAAATAATTCTTACCAAGTATACTTTTAAACACACATTAAGAATTGAATCCTTAGTATATGGCAGTTTTAATCATAACCTCAGTGAAATCGTTTGACTGTTATCTTTTTGGAACAAATATCACATTTTCCAAAGAATTTTGTGGTAGAAGTCATTTTTTTATAAGTGTCACTGTAGTGGATAGCGTCTCTCATGGACTTCAACAATGACAGTCAAGCCCCTAAATACTCGCTGCAAACCTCGTTTGGGGAACCACATCTCATAGCACTTGGGAAACACTGTGGAGCGACATTATCATTCATTAGGGACAGTACATAGCAACAATGAACTGTTCTAGGTGTTGTGGACATATTTTGATCAAGTAGAGGGCTGTGCAATGGTAAAAACGAGATGACGGATCATGTCAAACAATTCCTGAGAGCACTGCACACACAGTAAAAACAGAGAATCAGCAGCCTTTTTCTTTAGATCGTAGTTTTAATACACCCCTATATGTACTGGTTGTATTAAAACAATGTACAAAATAATGTTTGTAAATACAACCACATTATCAACTGTATTATTTAGCGGTTACTTAACATTCAAGTAATCTACATGTTATCAATTTTTTTTCCAGATTTTGAAGACTTATTTGATGATGATGATTTGAAGTAACAAGATCGCTGTTAATAAATAAATAAAAGTTAAATGTAAATTTCAATAATAGACATAAAAATTGATGTTATGAGTTGTTTTATTACTTTGTAAACAATTACATACAAATATTAAGTCAATAAATACATTACTAAAACTTTCATTGAAATTAATTTTTTTCCAATAGCAATAGTTTTCAAAGTTATTTGCATGCAATTTTATTTAATATGTTCAATGCTTTATGCAATTCATTGCAGATTTTTTCACAATAAAAACATTAAAATTTAATGTACACATTTGAATTAAGCTTATTCATTTCAACATTTAATAACTAAATAATAAAGAACATTTCTGCAATACTATGTTGAAAAACGTTATAAATGCTTTCAGAAATATTTAAAGTAATCTATTACAATAAGCGTAGTCAACAAGTTCAATAACTTGTAATTATATAGAAATTGCGATGCAAAGCCGTGTGTTACGGCGAGGAACATTCCAATTGTCACTTAAAATAAGGACGGTGGTGATTTATGGAAGCATGAGACAAATTTGTTTTTGAAGTACTCCCACCATTTTACCAAATGATTTTTCACTTACGGTTGCCGTCAAGTAATGGTGTGTAGCTCTATTATGAATACCTATCTATTTTATTACTTACATTGTTGGTAGTCTCTGTTGTTTATTTATAAGTGCTAACCTTATAGCTAAGATAATACAGAGAAAACAGCGCCCGTAAAAGGCGCTTTTCATGGTCGCTAGACATCGACGTCGCTGCTATCATCACTATAATCATTCCCTTCTGCTTCTTGTTCATCAGCATCTACATCAGCCTCAGCTTCTTTTAACATTTCTTCATCCAGTACCTCTTCTTCAATTTCTTCTTCTTGAAGTATGTCTGATAATTTTGACACAACACCTCTTGCCATTTCTATAAAATAATTAGTTTTAGTTATATAAGTTTCTTTTTTGTAATTTACAAAGACCGCTCCTGTGCCTTCTGTGTGAGAAACAGGACTAGCAAGTATAATTAAAGAAACATAGTGTATATGCTCCTTTAATTATACTTGCTAGTCCTGTTCACTTATACTTTTTCATGAATTTTGTAATAATACATGTATTAGAGTTCTATTGCGAGCTCTTATAACTTTGAAAGAGTACATACATGTAAATTGTGTTTGTATGTGTTGAACCTATTGACAATATAGCGACTTTTTTTTTTTTTTTCCTACCTAATCTGAGAGCCTTGAGAGGCTATTTCAGCGTAACCTTAACTAGTAGGTGAGNTCACGGGGCTCAAACCTGATGACGTTGCTAACACGAACCCTAGCAAGAGCCGTGCTTCGCAGAATCTACCACCGGATCGGAAACGCGACCCACTGAGAAGATCCGGCGAGAAACTCAGTGGGCTGTGTCTGAGAGTTAATTTACTCGTCGAGCCCTTCGTCGCAAGCGACGGGTTCGACGAGAACGGTGACCGGTGCTTGATGTACCTAGAAGCACCGTTAGTGGATCGGGAGGATCCGAGATGACGTGTTTTGGGCGACGTCGACTGCTTTCCATTCTGTCCGCCGGATCGGGAATGATATAGCGCCGATGAGCCTTTGAGAACAAATGAATATTTTCACTCTTATATTTGTAATGCAAATATTACACATACAGGATGTTTGCAGTTTCTGTGCAAGACTGAAATGTTGCTTCATGGACCTGTCATTGTTGAAGTCTCTGGGCGAGGGAAAACACTAATCACAGATCTAATGCTTAATATTGTTTTACGAATACACGACGTTTAATTAAAATATACTAAAAACCAATTAAAACATGTGTATGCTTTAAAATGCAGATCTTTTCCATTTCAATTTATTTTTATCTTTAGAGATTAACATAAATGTTCAAATAACTAATTTCTGTACATGTACTAAAACGGCGACTTACGCTCTACGTAGCTTTCCAACGATTTAGGTACCATGCTTTTTGCTCTCTCAATATCTTCTTCTGAACATTCGCCTTTATCTAATCCTGAAATGAACATAAAATTAGTACTATGAATAGACTATTTCATCATCCATATACATTGGCAGTGAATTCAGTGCTTCATATCGATTTACTATGTTTTTTTTCTAAACCATTCTGTTTAATTTTCCCGAAATGAACTAAAATTACAAAAATATATATATTAAAGCTTATAATATAATGTTGGTTTGATGCTTACCAAATAAAAGACCCATTCTTTTTAAAATATCTATATCATCATGTATTTGAAATCTTTTGTCAAAATTGAACATGTATTCAGTTCTGTAATAGAAAAAGTAAATAATGTTACTTTGAGTCATCATCAACTTAAGTGTACCTAAAATTTGAGCTGTTGTAAATCCGGCTATGCATCAGAAATGGCGAGTATTCACAATACAAAGCAATTGTTTTATTCTATAAAACTAGATGATGACCGAGCTTTGCTCGTTTTTTTTTTGATAACACCATCTTGGTGTGTCTTTAAAGCGGTTAGTATAGTATTATTATTCGCCAATAGATGTCGGGGAGAGTTGATTATTGAAAACACGAATAAAATAACATTTTCTGAAAATAAATCGTAGCTAGATCGATTTATCGAAATCCCCGAAATCCCCTGTATACTAAATTTTATGAAAATCGTTGGAGCCGTTTCCGAGATTCAGATTATATATATTAATATACAAGAATTGCTCGTTTAAAGGTATAAGATAGACTTCAACATCATGTGTCATATTTCATCTACAGATAAAAATTAGGATTCTTGTTTATGATCGACGTAGGATCAAATGCTTGTTTTTACTTTGTTGTATGTATATTCTTCTTCCTCAGCAAGACGAATGCCTCCATCCACCAACAAACACGATACATGATTTGATCTAGTTTAGCAGAGTTCAGAAGAAACAAAAATTTTAAAAATGTTTTAATATCATTTTGTTTGGGAAAAACTTACTTATCGTTAGAAATACTGCAATCAATTAATGCTTTATCACTTGTGTTTACAACAATGAATGGTAAATGTATTGCTGATGATGGTGATGGTTTCAGACCTTTATTTTCCGCTTCCTTATTTCGTTCAATCAGACTTTTAAATGAGATGTGCTGAAATAATGAGAATATTTCGGTAATTTATCGTATTAATACATAATATTTTTAAACTTATTGGCAACATAGTTATTTGGTATACTAAATAATTTAATGGTTTTCAAATGTTGGTCTTGTAGATGTACAGGTATGTACAGGTGTAAACTATATTTTTCAGAAATTATGTTAATCTTCTGTATTTAAACTGAATCTTTGAAGTGTGAACGCTTCCATACTATTTTCAAATTGTCAGCTTGCAAAAGGCAATTTCGGTTCCCTCCAATTTTTTGTATTGTATATAAAATATTCAGGTCAAGTACAACCACGTAGGATACCAACGTAACGTCACAAACCATGATAAGTGTTCCTGTGTATTTTAGTCATATAAACACTAGAACAGTGTTCCAATTTTGTAGGACAAAAACGCTTTTTTTTTTTCATATTCAAGTGTGGTGTCACACAACAGTGTACAGAGGTATTTGTATGCTCAAGCTAAGGCACTGCATTGCGTTTTCCACTTTATAGCCGAACTACGCTACAAGTGGCATGCCAAACGACGTTGGTAGCATGCGTTACTGTAACTTAATTTCAGTGTACTTTGAGAATCACCATTCTGGCTGTAAAAGCAAGGTCATTGCTGTAGATATTATCAAAGTGTATGGCAGAGTCTCACATAGGTGCACAAGGTTCATCAGTGTTTCACTAAGCTATACATGCATATTAACATACTGCAGACCACGGATTAGTAAATAACATTGAGAACTAACGACATACGCCAAACACTGAATAAATATTTGAAATATTTATCTATACCTAGGACTTAATTATTCTTAATCTATACCTACCTGTAAAATTAATTCTTGCAACTGTTGTGTTTTCTTCTGTATCTGTTCCAATTTTTGTTGCTTTTCTTTTTCAAGGGCATTACATTCCTGTACGCTGTTAGTAGGTAGACCCAGCCACCTGATTTCTTTTTTGTCTTTTGATATTATATTCATAGCCATAAGAACATTCAGTGCATCATAAACTCTACGTCGTATATTCTTTTGATCATATTGCTGAAATTCAATAGAAAACTAATATTTTAATTTAAAACTTTCTTGTGGCATTAGTATTTTATTCAATAACAATAAATTACTAAAGAAATTGCAGAAAACCAGTTATTTAAAAAAAACATACTTGACCATCACCAGAGCCATGTATTCCAGCAGCAAATTCTAAAACTAATTCATCTGCTACTTCGTTGTATGATGTGAAACCTTTTGTTCTTACTTTTTCACAAACTTTCATTGAAAAATGTCTTAATCCTTTGCCAACTTTATCAGCATGTTTACGTCTTTTGGTTGTGCTGAAATTTAAAACAATGGTCTTAACAATGCGATAATTTTAATTATTGAAATTTGTGATGTAAATAACAAAAAAGTACTGTAGTGTTTAATTTTGACAAGGCCATTTCAAGCAGGACCATTACTGGTGGTAGGACGTCTTAAAAGCCCGCACGGGTAGGTACCACCACCCTGCCTATTTCTGCCGTGAAGCAGTAATGCGTTTCGGTTTGAAGGGCGTGACAGCCGTTGTATTGTTAAAAGTGAGACCTTAGAACTCATGTCTCAAGGTGTGTGACGGCATTTACGTTGTAGATGTCCATGGGCTCCGGTAACCATCTAACACCAGGCGGGCCGTGAGATCGTCCACCCACATAAGCAATAAAAAAAGTAACTCTTTAGCACTTCTCGGAGAACACACTATTCAGAACACATGAGCAAATAAAAAATAACCCTAAAAATCAAGAATCACGAATGTTGTTTCTTACTTTTAGGATCAATGAAAAATTATTCATACTTACCTAGCATGCTACCTAATTTTGTTTACGTAAGTAATCAAAACCATCTGTTTCGATTGAAACGCAAAGAAAAACAAAAAAAGATACTTACTACTCCATTACAGGTTCATTGTCGGGATCGTGTCGTTTACGCGACGCGTGGGACATTCTTCGTCTTCGATATTTATGGCCGAGATCAGAGTCAGCTCGAGTCTAGAGATTAATAAAAAAATTATAGCAAAATTTATTCAAAGATTTTATCTATTCTTTCAATGAAATTTTGTTTATTTAATAGAAGTTATTGTTAACAGGTTTAAAGATTTACAAATAAAAGGAAACGACAATGATCATTGGTTTTTTCACAAAAAACACACAACAAAAAAAGCGTGCCCGTCAATAATTGGAAGGAGAGAAGTCGCCGTGGCCTAAAGGATAAGACGTCCGTTGCATTCGTATTTAGCAATGCAATGGTGTTCGAATCCCGCAGGCGGGTACCAAGTTTTCTAATGAAATGCGTACTTGACAAATGTTCCCGATTGACTTCCACGGTGAAGGAATAACATCGTGTATTAAAAATCAAACCCGCAAAATTATAATTTGCTAAATTACTGATGGTAGAACCTCTTGTGAGTCCGCGCGGGTAGGTACCACCACCCTGCCTATTTCTGCCGTGAAGCAGTAATGCGTTTCGGTTTGAAGGGTGGGGCATTTACGTTGTAGATGTCTATGGGCTCCAGTAACCACTTAACACTTAACATCTAAGCAATAAAAAAAGAAGCGAAAAGCACTGGTTTTTAAAGCAAGGTTCTTGGATTTTGACGATAAATACGAGGTTTTAAACGTTTCTTATTGCTTATTATTCTTATAAGCGTAATTAATCGATACGACAATCAGGTCAAAGTTAGTCCGCGATGGAAAAAAAATTTGGTTATCTTTATTTTTGAAACCAGTTTTAATACGATGCTACGTTGCATTTTTCTAAATATTGATAGTTGCAAGCATTTCAAATAAATGAAGATTTACCTATCTAAAAATTTATTTAAAATTTAGTTCAAGTTTCAAATATACATACTAAGTGTTCTTGAACCCAAAAATACAAAAACAGGTTTTCAATTTGAATTAAGCAAACTAATTTTTGTACTAAATAGTGAAATGATAAATTTTTAGTTCCTTCAAAGACAGACGGCATATAGACGACCTAATAGACGAGTGATCCAGTTGTCATGACGGCAACAAATAGAAAAAAAATCATTCTAACTATTCTGGCCATAAATACTCTTACATAAAAACTTTTTTTTTTTAACTTTTTGATTATTTTGAATTTGGATCACGTATATTATTTTAAAAACTTCGTTTAATTTTGCGCCAATTCAATCATCGTAATATTAAATTACGATATGGAATTCGGAATGAGGTGTTAAAGAAAATATATAGGTTGGCAGTGATCGTCTTGCTCAAAGTGGGTATGAAGCTGTCGGTCATATTCCAGACACTTCAAAAGCTTGGTATCAGCCTTGTGTTCGTATATCGTACTATCAACAGATACAACAACACTTCGTCTGTCGAAGACCAGAAAAGATCGGGGCGGCCGCGTGCTGTTAGAACTACATAGGCTGTTAAAGCCAGAATTAGTCGAAACCCCATTAGGAAGCAAAAAATCTTATCGCGAGAAATGAAGATTCCGCTAGGACTCTGTCGCGTATTATAAAACAAGACCTGAAGCTCGGTGCTTATCGTCGATATACAGGACATGCCCTAAATCAATCTTTACAATTAAACACAGTGTATCGATCAAAACGCCCTCTGTCGCGATACGCAGGTGAAAGGCACAGAAGTATCCTCTTTACCGATGAAAAAAAATTCTCGATTAAAGAGCACTACAATAAGCAAAATGATAAAGTGTACGTTCACAATTACAAAGAAGCTGCTCAAGTGGTCGGAAAGTTACAACGGGGTTATCATCATATGTCAGTGGTGATTTGGTGGGACGTATGTGAAAAAGGAGTGAAAATTTTAGCCAAAGTGTATCAAGATACAGTCTTGGATCATATTCTGAAGCCTCTCAGTAATACACTTTTTAAAAATATACCGTGGACTTTCCAGCAAGACTCTGTAACTGGTCACAAGGCACGAACTACCCAAGCCTAGTTTGAAACCAACGCTCCGTACTTTATAAGAGCTGAAGAAGACTGGCTCTCATGACATGACCCAGACCTCAAACTTTTAGACTTCAAATTATGTTAGTTTTAGAGAACACGGCTTGTTCTAAGCGACACAGCGACATTCAGTCTCTTAAAAAATCATTGGAGCAAGCAGTGGCGATATTTCCCTTGGAAACAGTGTGCAATTCCATAGATTCGTGGCTAAACATATTAAACGCCTGGAATGTTTTATTTTTTATTTTTTGCTGAGACTTTAATAAATATGAAGGTATAAATTTAAATATTACATTACTTAATTTAAAAAAAAAATGCATTTTCATTTGTAAGAGAACTTATGGCTGGACTAGGTAGTTACGAACTTTTCTTCACAATTCCTTTTTACTATTTAAATAATGAAAAGTTAATAATAAAAAAGTGATTAACGATTTGGCGATATTTTATACTTTCTTGAAGGATTAATACTAAAGTATTATTTATTATTTTTTATTGATATTTTTTGATTATTGATTAAATAAATAAATATTTACTAACAATCACGCCACGTTAACTGGTCCCGTGGTAAGTTCGTAAAGAACTTGTGTTACAGGTACCAGATAACGGAAATAAATGTAATATTTTTATTATACACATACATATATTAAATATACATCCACAACCCTGGAAGACATTTTTATATTTATCATACAAATATCCTCCCTTGGCGGGATTCGAACCCGCGACCCCCTTGTGTAGTGACCAAGTCACTTACCACTACACCAGACGGCCGTTGAAACTAGAAAGAAGCCGTTGTAGAAAGCAGTGTTGTAGCTAGCTCTATGCTAGTTTTTGGCTGAATTTATAAAATGTTTACAGACAAACGCAGAGCAATTTTCAACACAGAATTGATATTGAGTCACAAGGTGGCTATAATACATGAGGATATCGCAAAAAAAATACGTGTCGTTCAGTTTACAATGTAGTCTTATATGATGTAGGGAAACTTGTAGGTATCACGATCGCAAACGCAAATGCCTTTTTATTGAGTTAAAGCTTCCTCGTTCCTCCTACTTTGAGTATTGAGCTTTTCTGTACAGCATTACTAATTTAATGAAAAAGACGTTAAGTATAACAAAAGTTTATTTTATAATATTTTAGAGCACGTTTTCTACGTAAGGTATAATTTTTTTCGATATCGAAGTGCCTGTTTGTAATTTGTAACACACTGTTTTTTTCAATTGAAAATGTGAGCAAACTTACCAAGAAACCATGAATTCCAACAGGTTCTAATTTCGGAGCTATCTTTTGAAAGTGTGTCACTGTATCACAAGGTCTTTGTGCAGGTTCTGGAAGTTGAAAAATTCATTTGGTTTTACTTTAGAAATTGGTAAGAATTTGAATTTTACATTAGGTATGGAATTGCAGTAAAAGTTCCTTATTCGCGGCAAAAAAATTCTTTATTCGCGAATCTAACTGTACATCGGTACAGACATGTTGATAAAAAGGATTCGAGTAGGTATCCAACTCACCGGTCACCGTCCTCGCGGAGCCCGTCGCTCGTAACGAAGACCTTGACTAGTAAATTAACCCATCGACACAGCCCACTGAGATTCTCGCCAGATATTCTCAGTGGGTCGCGTTTCCGATCCGGTGGTAGATTCTGCGAAGCACTGCTCTTGCTAGGGCCAGTGTTAGCAACAATTCCGGTTTGAACCTCGAGACCTTACCTAGACGCTAGGCTAAAGCTCAAATAGCCGCTCAAGACTATTAGCATAGGTAGAAAAAAAAATCCAACCCCCTTTGTGTAAGCGTTGTCAAATGAACTAATAAATATATATAAAAATGAATTGCTGTTCGTTCGTCTCGCTAAAACTCGAGAACGGCTGGACCGATTTGGCTAATTTTGGTCTTGAATTATTTGTGGAAATCCAGAGAAGATTTAAAAGGTAGATAAATATGAAAATGCTCGGAATTAAATACAAATAACAATTTTGTTTTTCCTTTTGTTTGTTTTAAGTTTATGTTATACAAAAGTTTAGGTCTTTTGTTTATCGATTGAGGCACTACGAAGTCTGCCGCGTCAGCTAGTAAACTAATAAAATAATAAAATAGACCTTAATACAATTATGCCTGAGGTAGGTTTTTATTTTGTCAACGTACGTTTTTTTTATTGCCCTTGTAGGCAGACGAGCGCCCGGCCCACCTGATGGTGAGTGGTTACCGTCGCCCATGGACTTCACACAATTCCAGGGGCAGAGCCAAGCCGCTGCTTACCACTTAATACTCTCCACAAGCCTCGTTTGAAGAAGGACATGTCATAGTGCTCGGGAAACACCGCAAAAAAGACTTCTGGAAACGCACTGTGGATGACCGCAGTGGCTCTAGGTAGTATGGATGAACTCTGCTCCGGAGGCGGGCGGTGCGATGGTTAAAACGAGACGACGGTATCATTTCGAACAATTCCTCAGAGCACTCCCCATGGAACATACGGTACAAAATACAGAGGGAACCGAAGTCCCGCCGCAGACCCAGAGGTTCCAAATGATCCGTGAGAATGGGATTATCGACAATCCGAACGGCCCTCTTCTGTATGGAGTCAAAAGGAAGAAGCTGGTATTTGGGAGCCCCGACCCAGAGAGCAGTACTCCACGCGAGGCCGGACTTGTGCTTTATAAAGCAAAAATCTTTGTCCAGGCGTGAAGTACCGCTTCGCTCTGTTGAGGACTCCCAGCATTTTGGACGCCAACTAGGCTTTGCCTTCCAAATGACTCCGAAATTGGACATCGCTCGAAATGTCGACCCCAAGTATCCCGATACTCTCGGAAGGTTGCAGGGATACTCCTTGGAATTGCGGCGCCATGACAAAGGGGTCCTTCTTTGCAGTGAACGCGCAAACTTGTGTTTTTAACGGGTTGAATTGAACCAAGTTCAATTCACCCCATTTGGAGACTCGCCCTAGAGAGTTCTCCACTCCAGACAACTTCCAAGTTTTGATTGTGTCTCTTACACCACGCTCCGAGAGAGACTCTGATGGCCGATATATCGCGCATCCCCCGTGCTGTCATCAGCATAGCAATGCATGGCATCAATAGACAGCATGTCATCGATATACAGGATGAAATGTGTGGGGGAGAGCACTGAACGATGTGGAACGCCAGCGTTAATGGTCATGGTATCAGAACAGTTACCGTCTACAGCGACCGTGATGCTCCGCCCATCCAAAAAGCTAGCGATCCACTTGCAGACCCTCGGGGATTCCGTAAGATGGTAGCTTCGACAGAAGTGCCCTATGCCAGACCCTGTCGAACGCCTTCGCGATATCAAGGCTCACAGCAAGAGCCTCACCCTTGCTCTCCAAGGCTTCAGCCCACCTGTGAGTAAGGTATACAAGAAGATTGCCAGCTAAGCGACCGTGACGGAAACCGTACTGCCGGTCACTGATCAGCTGGCGATCCTCAAGATACTTCAGTGTATATTTATTATTTGCTTCATCACCTTGGAAAGCAAGGAAGCTATCGCGATAGGTCTATAGCTCGATGGGTCCGAACGGTCACCCTTCTTGGGGATAGGGTGGATGTGGGCGGTCTTCCATGAAGACGGAACCCTGTTAGTGCAATAAGAGAGGCGATACAAACGCGTTAGCGCAGGCGTCAGCTCAGGGGCGCACGTTTTTAGAACCACTGCAGGGATCCCGTCTGGCCCACTCGACTTATGGACGTCCAGGAGTCGGAGTTCCCGCCTGACTGCACACTGTGCAAAGCAAATCTCCGGCAGGGAACTATCACACCGGGGAATGTTCGGTGGTGTGGTACCCCCGTCGTTCACAGTCGAGTTCGAGGCGAAGAGTCCCCTATAACCCCCATATACGCAAATTACCCTTCCATATTCACGGTTACTGTATTCGCGGCATATTTTTATTATGCTTCAACCCCGCGAATAATAAGCTTTTACTGTATAGAGACAAGTAAACGTGATCTTTGACTTTTGCAAAACAGCCTTTAAGAACAAGGTAGACAGTGGTGACAATAATTACAGACTCAACAGGAAAATCTCCACTGCGAAATCGGAATCGACTTATCGTAAGACAGATGAATTTATATAAAGTGATGTGGCTATGAAGCCCACTTGAGTAAATAGATCACTATTTTGGCTATTTCTGCCACAAAGCAGTCGAGAGTTCTGGTTTGATGGGCCGGACAGCCCTTATATAAAACAATTGATATTACAACTTCAGATCTCTAAGAGGGGCGCTACTTATTGATTTATATGTATGTTTATATTGTAGGCATAATTTCTCACCATAATTTTGAAATGTATAATGAAGTGAATTGATGGATTAATTCAAATTATATAAGTTTGTTCATAAATCAGCTTATCTAACATTAATTAACACCATCATGTGGATTATTTTAATATTGGATAGTCAATCAAGATATTCTTGTTACAGTATTAAAAATTAGATTATGTTCCATAGCAGAAGTATTGATACTTGTAAACAGTGATACTAAAACACCCAGAACTGAGATTAATATAGTGTGCAAAATTTTAGTAACAAAATACTTCCTAAATTTGTATATATTTGAGATTTAATTCATTACTACTTGCTCACTTTATTTTTATTTAATTTTTTTGGATGTAGATGTACCTAACAATTCGCAGAGCACTAAATTACATGTATGATTACATTGAGAAATGAAGTTGAAGTCCCAAATGTATGCAAGAAGCTAAATTATTTGCTATTACACCATGCCTATTTCTGCTGTGAAGCAGATGCATTTCAGTTTGAAGGGTGGAGTATATGTTATTATACTGTAAAAACTGATATTTTAGGACTTGTGTCTCAAGGTTGACGGCGGCATTGACTGTTGATGTCTCTCTGCTCCGGTAACCACTTAACACCAGGTGAGCCATGAGCTTATCCAGCCATCTAAGCAATAAAATATACAGTTATATATTAAATAGGATTCTTGATTACTTTCTGTCAACAAGCCCTGTCATGCTGAAAACTTACTTTGTTTGTATTGAACAATTCCAAATCTTGCAAAACTGGCTGGAACAGGTATCTGTTAAAGAGTATACTCATATAAAACTGAATGGTAAATGATAATCAAATTGCTAATTCTGGTTTGGTACCTATTGATCGTATAAAATGAGTAGCCACCTATGTAAGATGTAAGTACTGAGACTTTAGAACTAGTCTCGTGGTGGATGGAGGCAATTACATTAGATGTATGTAGATAGTAGATGTCCATAAGCTCCAGTAACCATTTTAGACCAGGTGGATCATGAGCTCATCCACCTATCTAGTAATAAAAAAATACAAGAACTAGGGAGTCCTCATTAGTTGTAGAATATTTTTCAAATTCAAATCAAATTACAGTAGGGCATAAGGGCATAGGTAGGCTCAGTTCACCCAACTAAATCTAAATTATATTAGAACCCCAAAAGCTTAGGTTAACCACAGTGACAAAGGAAAGTAATTATTATTATATTTCATGTCATTTCGTCTCGTTCTGTTTATTAAAAGTTTATTCAAAATATACATTACTACTCTAACTAAAAGTTTAGTCTAATGAAGCGTAAATAAATAATGTTTATAATAATATATGTAAAACATATAGTGGTTTCATATATAAAAAAATTGCGAATAATCATACCTTTGCACATTTGACCGGAACAGGTGATACAGTAACAATTTTAACTGGACTCTCTTTCGGTTCTGCTTCGATTTGAGCAATCAGTGGTTTACTTGTAGTTTCCAGCACTTTCACCACTTGAGGAAGTCCTGCAGGACATATCATCGAGTCTTTATGTATTTATAATCTAAATTAAAGACTTACTGAAGCGTCGGTGCCATCAGCTGATTGAAACAAAAAATATCTCCGTAATAAACAAACGCTGTGATGATGTTTATTTCGGCAGAATAAAAGGCGTCGAAGATAATAACTAAAGCTAAGCTACTAGTCTTGAGTTTGGTCCAATTGATCTAGGCTTTGTTTGCAATACAAAGTCTTAAATCCGATAGGAAAAACAAGTGTCACGTAAACTAAAGTAGCACCTCTACTAACCGTTAGCATCATGGATAAGGTAATTTATTGTACTATTAGTTTGGGACATTTTCTCCACACTCCTTGAATTTGGACGTCCATTTATGTTTCATAAGAACAACGTAGGACAATTGTTGATGACGAAACAAATTAAATAATACCTACTCAATTCGTATGACCAAAATCACAGGTCAAAATGGCGACAAAAATATGGGTTAGAACCAAAACTATAGCCAATTTTTTAACCGATAAATGAACCTTTTACAGTTTAAAGTTTCTATTAATATATGTAACATTGATAAACTTTTAACATTTAATTAAAGTATATTAAATGCGCGAATCCAAGCACCATCACCAACGCAGCGCGGGACGAGAAGGAAACGATGCAAGAGGCGGGATTTTTGGATTTACCAGCTGATTGGATGAGGTAGTTCACGTGGTACTATTCAATAGTTGCTAGATGTGAAAAAAAAACAAAAAGGCGCCAATTCTCAATCGCCATTTTGTTTTTAGGTGTAGATGTACGCATTTAATGTCCTTGCCATCGCAAGAATTTAAAAATGTTTTCCGAAGTGCGCCATGCATGAGGTTAATTTAATTATTAAACTTCATGCATGGGGATTCGATAGACAGCGTCAGTGCGGGTATCACGTATTTGTTGCTAACGAATATCTTTTTCCTTTAATATTCTTTTTTTTTGTATTCTGTCTTTTTATACCTGTTGTTTTATAGTTTTTGTTGCATGTTTGTGTATCTTTGTCTGTTTTGCTTAATCAACGGTGTCAGTAAGTTGTAAATAATATTTAGTAAGTAAGTCTACTGTACAGAATTGTTTTTAATACAAATTGAAAACAAATTTTTATTTCTATGAGTTACACATAGAGATAAATATTTGTCATGGAATCTGTACCTAATGAACCGCCTGACCCAGGCATAGATATTAGTTTAGAAAACGGTTCTGTTAACTCACCATCATATTCAACGTTAAGTGCCCAGTCTGATATTGACAACCTACCCTCACCATCTAATTATAATGAAAACATGTCAGTTGACCTAGTTACGAGTACCCCCCGAAAACGTAAACCTTATGATAACAATGCAGATGAGCTGGCTTCCAAAAAACTCTCCAAAATTGATACTTTTAAAAATGCATCCACTAAAGGTGGATTAAATTCGTACTATAGACCATATGCCGACACAGATCAGGGACCTTATATAGTTCATGTTTCTAGAGTAACCGAAGATCCGGCTTCACCGGTTTCCCTCCACCCAGTTAAATTCGGACAATTTTTANGCATTCTTATCAGAATGCGACTGGGTCACGTTTGCTCTCCTGTCCAGCTGTTCAAATTCAAAGTAAGAAATACAGCAATATGCGACTGTGGATCCGAGGAAGGTACTGTGGATCATATATTCTTCAACTGCATTCTTAACAATAATTGTGATTCCCTATATACTTTATTAAAAAACATAATCCCCTTCCCCATCAACATGAGCTTCCTATTAACTTTCCCCAGTAAAAAGGTAGTCTACTCGCTTGCATCTTTCATAGACACTAATAATATAAAATTGTAGTTCCTACTAACTGTTAAATACAAAAATTGTAAAACTAAATAGGTAACTCTATTTTCAGTTCATGCCTGTAAATGTTATGTAAATGTCCTAGCATAATTATGTTGATACCTCCACTATCCGACGTTGGCAAAATTGTACTTTAATCTAAGTAACAAAAGCCAAGAAGAAAGGAAAAAAAAAAAAAAAAACCATGCATGGCCCCATGTCTTTCTTGTTCATAATAGTCTGTTCGGATTCAGTTTCTTCATGTTGTTACGTTATTTTTCTACAATGTTATGGTCACTTACTTTTTTTTTAGTGGTATAGTATCATTTCTGATATTTTTACGATTATGAAACAATATCACTACTCGTTCTTCCAGTATTTATTGTAGAACCTTGTGTATATATAAAAACTAAGCTACCATAAAAAAGCATTTATGAGATTACAAAATTTTTTTTCCGGCCCTTGTTGGCAGACGAGCATACGGCCCACCTGATGGTGAGTGGTTACCGTCGCCCATGGACTTCAGCAATGCCAGGGGCAGAGCCAAGCCGCTGCCTACCGCTTAATACTCTCCACAAGCCTCGTTTGAAGACGTACATGTCATAGCGCACGGGGAAACATCGTGGAGGGAAGCTCATTCCATAGCCGGATAGTACGTAGCAAAAAAGACCTCTGGAAACGCACTGTGGATGACCGCAGTGGCTCCAGGTAGTATCATCTCGAACAATTCCTCAGAGCACTCCTCATGGAATATACGGTACAAAATACAGAGGGAACCGAAGTCCCTCCGTAGACCCAGAGGTTCCAAACGATCCGTGAGAATGGGATTATCGACAATCCGAACGGCCATCCTCTGTATGGAGTCAAATGGCAGAAGCTGGTATTTTGGAGCCCCGGCCCAGAGATGGGAGCAGTACTTCACGCGAGGCCGGACTTGTGCTTTATAAAGCAGAAGCCTTTGTTCAGGCATGAAGTACCGCTTCGCTCTATTGAAGACTCCCAGCATTTTGGACGCCAACTTGGCTTTGATTTCCAAATGACTCCGAAACTGGACATCGCTCGAAATGTTGACCCCAAGTATCCCGATACTCTCGGAAGATTGCAGGGATACTCCTTGGAATTGCGGCGCCATGACTATTTAATGTCTACAAATATGATTATAGGTTGAATCTCAATAGTCTGCGGGGATGTATTATTAAATAAACATCATCAACTCGATACTTCTTAAAAAACACTATCTCAAACTCACATACTCGTTTTTCCTAAAACCAACAGCTATCGAACCATAGCTCAAACTGTTATTGTAATAGATTGAGATACCGTTAGCCCCTTAGGTTGAATGCCCAATGCAGGTAATAAATATGAGACTATAAGAACTTTAGAGGTTGAGAAACATTAGTACATGTCGATTTGATCAAACAGAGATACTTTTCTTTTTAAATATAAATAAATCAACAGTTAAAATTAAATTTTTTTAGACTGAAATTTCCCATGTTGGCTTTGTGTTGTCTGCTATCCATCAACAATTTAATCATACGTTTTACTGGTTGTTGGTACGCTTAACATTAAAAATCAAACAGATAGTTAGCATGGCACATTATATTTTTTATTTTTTTATTGCCTTTGTAGGCAGACGAGCATACGGCCCACCTGATGGTAAGTGGTCACCGTCGCTCATGAACGTCAGCAATGTCAGGAGCAGAGCCAAGCCGCTGCCTACCATTAAGTACTCTCCGCAAGCCTCGTTTGAAGAAGGACATGTCATAGCGCTCGGAAAACACCGTGGAGGGGAGTTTATTCCGAAGCCGGATGGTACCAAGCAAAAAAGATCTTTGGAAACGCACTGTCGATGAACGCAGCGGTTCCAGATACGGATGAACTCTGCTCCGATGGCGGGAGGTGCGATGATAAAAAGGAGATGAGGGGATCATCTCGAATAATTCCTCAGAGCATTCCCCATGGACCATACGGTATAAAACACAGAGAGAACCGAAGTCCCTCCGTAGACCCAGAGGTTCCAAGCGATCCGCGTGAGTGGGACTATCGACCATCCGAACAGCCCGTTTCTGTATGGAGTCAAATGGAAGTAGCTGGTATTTGGGAGCCCCGGCCCAGAGGTGAGAGCAGTACTCCACGCGAGGCTGGACCTGCGCTTTATAAAGCGCAAGTATCTGCCCAGGCGTGAAATACCACTTCGCTCTGTTGAGGACTCCCAACATTTTATAGGCCAATTTGGCTTTACCTTCCGAATGACTCCGAAATTGAACATCGCTCGAAATATCGACCCCCAGAATCCCGATACTCGCGAAAAGCTGCAGGGATACTCCTTGAAATTCCGGCGCCATGACAAAAGGGTCCTTCTTCGCAGTGAACGCGCAAACTTGTGTCTTTATCGGGTTGAATTGAACCAAGTTCAATTCACCCCATTCGGAGACTCGCCCCAGAGAGTTCTCCACTTCAGACACAAGTTTTGATCCTCTCTCTTGCACCACGCTCCGAGAGAGACTCTGATGGCCGATATATCGCGCATCCCCCGTGCTATCATCCGCATAGCAACACATGCCATCAATAGATAGCATGTCATTGATATGCAGTAAGCAAAGCGTGGGGGAGAGCACCGAACCTTGTGGAACACCAGCGTTGATGGTCATGGTATCGGAGCAGCAGCCGTCGACGACAACTGTGATGCTCCGTCCATTCAAAAAGCTAGCGATCCACTTGCAGAGTCCCTCAGGGATCCCGTAAGCTGGAAGCTTCGATAGAAGTTCTCTATGTCTGACCCTGTCTAAGGCCTTCGCGATGTCAAGGCTCACAGCAAGAGCCTCGCCCTTGCTTTCCAAGGCTTCAGCCCATTTATGTGTGAGGTATACAAGAAGATCGCCAGCTGAGTGAGCATGACGGAAACCGTACTGCCGGTAACTGATCAGCTGGCGATCCTCAAGATACTTAAGAAGTTGGATATTTAAACAATAATTTAAACAAAGTTTCTAGATATTTCAGAAGTCGTCATGGACTAAAGGATAAGATGTCCGGTGCATTCGTATCTAGCGATGCACTGGCGTTCGAATACTGCTGGCAAGTACCAATTTTTCTAATGAAATACGTGCATAACAAATGTTCACGATTGACTTCCACGGTGTAGAAATAATATCGTGTAGGAATAATAACAAAGCAATTAAAATGAAATATATTAAAATAATACTATTCACTTTCTCACTTTTACACACTAATGAGGTGTTGAATGTAATATACATGAGATTTTCAAAAGAGATATTTTATTAATAGACCCTTTTGCGTTTTTGGGTTGTTGCATTATTTTCCATGACACTGACAAACGACACTTGGTGCTAACAACATTTCAAAATTGTTGTATCCACTTCACATGTAAATAATCAACGGTCTTACATATTTTATTGTGTGGTAATTATTCGCAAATAATATTACTCTTAATATATTGATAATCCATTAAGATTACTGGATGTGAAAAGAATCAAATATGACGAAACAGATTGAATTTTTATGTTTTTTATTATTTCCCATTCACACACTATCAATTAACTTTAATGAATTAAATTTGCCTCCGCAACATATTCCATTTGTTTTTAATGCATTTCCTGAAATTGCTGAAACCTGCAATTCGGAACAAAGCTGCCCTTTCAAGAGTTCGCTGGGTGCAAAATCGTGTTGGGGTTATGAACGAGACTGTGATAAAAAATCCTCGTATCATGTGCGCCCAGTGTGTCCTGGCGATCACAGAGGTTGGGTTAAAACGAAAGAAGCCCAATATGATACGTTTTACACACAAGCAGATTTTGGTAAGCTTTTTATTATTATTATTAGTATGAACAGGATCATGTGCTAAGTGTTTACCAGAGTCCACAGAAATCACTTCGTGAATACCTTCACCCGCCTCGAAACATGAGGTCTATGTCTCAATTGTGTAATATTATTATATTATGTCCTTTCTGTCCCATCCTTCAAACCAGAACACAAATATTGCTTTGTGACAGATGCGCACACAAGGTGATTTCTAAAATATACCCAATTGAAAATGAGAATATTGATAAGCTGTATAGAATAGCCATGATGGTTATTTATTTTAAATCTATCTTACAATTGCTTGTACTGACTTTCAATAAGTTTCTTATTCTTACATAAAGTTTATTCATGTGAAATTTCTCAAGAGTATCACATTCAGCCATCCATTTTATCTGTCTATAAAAATTTACATGTAATTGCAATTTTTTACATTTAATTTGTAAGAATGTTTCATCTGCAATTGCAGTAAATCTAAATTTGTTTATAGTCCATTTTCTCCCCATCAACCATCTCTTTATCCAGATTAAAAAGTAGAGAACTTGGCATTTAATTAAAGTTCAATTATTTTAATTACAGGTTATGTTAAAGAACAAATCGATGATTTGATGGTGATGTGTGAAGCACTATACCCTGATGATACATCGCTTGAATGCTCGAAATATCTTAGGTACTATTTTAATAAGACTAATTTGTCCATTTAACATATTTTATATTCTATTATCAATGACAGCTTCGATTTGATATAATTATAAAGCTGCTTGCTAATGCTTTATTATACAGATAAAAAAACTGATTAAAATTTGGGTGTAAAAAGTGCATAGAGTGAACTTGATGTTTAACTCAAACATGAGCTTTCTTCTACAGAACCCCAAACTTCTTCTTCTGAGTCTGTCTCTTCATTACTGAAGGTCGTGTCTAATCTAAAATGTGGACCACTCGATGCACAAACCCCAAACACTTATAGCAGAACAACAGTACTCCCTCTTATGATACAGTGGGTTGGTTTGTCATTGTAGCAAAACACATTGTAAGACTATTGTTGTAAAATGCACCCCTATGTATAAACAATTCACGTTAAACTTTTTCTTATTATGTCTTTTATTTTCATAAATTGAAACTTTTAGTATTATTTTTTTAATATTTTAACCTAATTTTTAAGTTTATAAAAAGACAATCACACAATGTGCAGAGTCACACAAAATTAATTACAAACTACAAATTATTACAAATTTTCAATCAAATTTCATAGTTCGGAAACGAAATGTGGGAAATTCCCACATGATATGGTTTATTCCCATTTTATAGTTGGGACCTCAAATTGTATAATATAAAATCGCATTATCAGAGTTAAGAGTGTAGAGGGGTTACTGTATAGAAGGGTACAGAGTGATACTAAAAAAAAAATAAAAAAAAATAATTCATCAATTGTTTCAACTGTTATGCCCTGAATTTATACGACAAAAATATCATTAGGCCATTTATTGAGTTAAGCGCATCAGAATTTTAGAGAATAAGAAATTTCTTCAACTCATTTCAAACAAAAAATACAACCATATCACGAGGACATAAAGCTGAAAAACTTCTGCAAATTTAAACCTTACTATGGCGAATGTTATTAATTGCAAAGCATTATTATTGTACCTTTATTGCAAAGACAAAAGAAGCTTGATATGGTGACACAGTCAGAGCGGACTAGTGAGACAGGTGGAGTTTTAATGGCCCGAGACTGAAAGACTACACTGGTGACCGAGACTAGTGGCATTTGTGTAGCAGAACTAGAACTATTATTTTAATTTTATTTCTGTACATTAAATCAAATCAAATCAAATAAAAAAAAAATTATTCAACATAAATGAAAGTACATACTTGTTGAACGTCAAAAGAACTACCGCCAATTCACAAGAACTAGCCTCCGTCCTGAGAAGAATTGGCAAGAAACTCAGCGGGCATGTCTTTTTTTTTTTTTTTAAATATGGAATTATTATTTATTTATTTTTTAATATTAGATTATTATTTTTTTAAATATGAATTTTTTACAATGAGTATTATAACGTAACAATTACTACGATATTGAAATGCCCGGAGCGAGCAACTCATTTGTTTTCATTCTCAACTCATTAGTTGATGAGCATATGGATCACCTGGTGTTAATTGGTTATCATATTTGAACTCATTGATATTATAATTTGAATACCACCATCTGCTTTGAGATGTGAGGTCGAAGTCTCCATTGTAATCTTGTTTCTTATCCTATCTTTGAAACAAGGATCAGTACTTATGATTTGACACAAGTAGGTACGCGATTTCGAAACACGCACGACGAAACTGAACTTGTTCGAATTCAATATGCCATGTGTGTGTCCTCAGTTTAAGTGTGCGTATGTTTCAATCAGCTGGCATCATGTGAATTTTTTTGCGGTCTGAAAACCCGCACAATTAAGCCAAACGCACTATGGCGTTTGCTGTGTTTTCATATAGCTTCTGCTTTAGGAAAGCAATCTGAAGTTGTTGGATATTCTACAATAATTTTCGTAAACTTGGTTTAAGGTGGTTACCGTCGCCCATGGACTTCAGCAATGCCAGGGGCAGAGCCAAGCCGCTGCCTACCGCTTAATACTCTCCACAAGCCTCGTTTGAAGAAGGACATATCATAGCGCTCGGGAAACACCGTGTAGGGGAGCTCATTCCATAGCCGGATGGTACGTGGCAAAAAAGATCTCTGGAAACGCACTGTGGATGACCGCAGTGGCTCCAGGTAGTATGGATGAACTCTACTCCGGTGGCGGGCGGTGCGATGGTAAAAACGAGATGCCGGTATCATCTCGAATAATTCCTCAGAGCACTCCCCATGGAACATACGGTACAAAATACANGACAATCAGCCCCCGCTGCAATGGAAACTTGGAAGGATTATCCGCACGTTACCCGGCAAGGATGGAGTGATCAGAGTCGTGGATTTGGACACGAAGCATGGAAGTCTGCGGAGACCTGTGTTCAAGTTAGCCAGGTTGCCGCTGGATTCAGCACATGAAGAAGTTCAGCCCCGGCCGCCCCAGGATGTTCGCGCGACAGCGCGACGTTTATAAATGTTCGGCTCAACTCGGGTGCCGTCGCCCGTACGCACCCCGCACCTCTCATAACAGTGCGGTACATGACGGCACGCGGAGATACGCTCGTTCGATATTGAGTAAATTGTGCGCGCGCGCCTTTCGATACTAAGTAAAAGGTTGAGTGTGAACCGGTGAAAAGGTGTATGTGCCACCCATCGCAGAGGAACACCACTACGACCGTGATAGTGCCAGCATCAGCTCCAAGTAAGTCCCGTTTTCCTACCTACCCTTTCGTGTCCGCTCATTCTCCGCAGAGTTCATTTGCTCCCTTTCAGCTCATCAGCTCACGTTTAAGGTGACGCTCACCTGCGTCACCAGTCACTAAACAATTAGTATATCAAACCTTTTTGATCACTAGATTTTTTTTGTCTATTTTTAGTACTGGTCTGACAAAAAAAGTTCAATTAAAAAAAAAGTGGCAGCACATGCTGCAGCTAGGCGCAGGACTGGTGGTGGTGTGGAGGATGAAATTGAGCTATCAGAAATAGAGGAGCGTATAGTTTCATTATGTGGTGGTGAAGGCTATTCCATAGGAAATCCAAACGTCCGTTATAATCCATTCCCGGTGAGATAGTAATCACCTGTTAAGGTCTTAATAAGTATGGTATATCTATTTAATTAATATTGACATACTTTAAAAGGGCATGAAAACAGTTTATTTCAATCGCGAAATCAAAAACAAAAATAATATTTTGTATTAATTAAATGTAATCACTAATTATTAGGCGTTGCAAGTTGCATCGAAATAAATTATTTTGTTAATATATTTTTTTGTATAGGGTTACAACTAATTCGTTTTTAGGAGGCAATACCACAAGTTGCAGTACAAGATGCTGGCACTTCATATGTAAGTAGTAGTACGCAATTACTTATTCTATTAATTGAAGTTTTTTTTTTTATCTCAGCATTTATATAACTTACAGACATCCAATGTTAACAAAAGTCCCGTTTTATTTGAGGAACATATTCCGGTGCTGGTGAGTATTTAGTTTAAATCAATGCATGACGGGTCACTACTTTCGGTATAAAATATTTGCTATATTTAAGGAGCTACAACAAATAGAAAGTACCAACCAAAAACGTCAAAATACTGCAAGGAGACTTTTTGCCAGCTTGGAAGATGTTTCAATCGCTGAAACAAGCCAGAACATCCCACAGGTATGTTTATAAAGATATTTTTGATTAATAATAATTAATCCACCTATGTATATAATTAATTAAATCTAGCATATGTACCTAACTCTTACCTTTTGCTTTGTTATCTTTGTTACGTACTTTGTACGAGTATTATTAAATAAATATATATTAAAATAATTCTGAAGCAAAGCACTGACTTGTACAAATTTTATTATTTCAGCAAGTGCTTCAAGTACCGAACTTGTCACCTCCCCCTCCTACTCTTTCACATACGCCAAGCCCCCTGTCTATGCCCATTGCTTCCCCCTCTCGTCGCGGCACTACCACCACCGCCGGTACCAGCTCTCGCCCCAGCGTAGTAATTCGTCCTCGTCGAAATGATGCACATCCATGTAAGTATTTTGGCCTCAAAAATTGTAGCTACGTAAGTTAATACTGATAACAAAATATCGAAATCGAAATAAATATGTACCTAAACATAAGACGTAAGACGGATGAGACGTCCGGTGCATTCGTGTTGAGCGATTCACCGGTGTTCGAATCCCAGGCGGGTACCAATTTTTCTAATGAAATACTTACTCAACAAATGTTCTCGATTGACTTTCACGGTCAAGGAATAACATCGTGTAATAAAAATAAAACCCGCAATTTTTAATTTGGGTAATTACTGGTGGTAGTACTTGTGAATCCGCGCGAGTAGGTACCACCACCCCGCCTATTTCTGCCGTGAAGCCGTAATGCGTTTCGGTTTGAAGGGTGGGGCAGCCGTTGTAACTATACTTGAGACCTTAGGACTTATATCTCAAGGTGGGGGGCGCATTCACGTTGTAGTTGTCCGTGGGTTCCAGTAACCACTTAACACCAGGAGGGCTGCGAGTTCGTCCACCCAACTAAGCAATAAAAAAAACAATAATAATAATATTTATTTATCTTTCTAGCAACGGGTCAAGAACGGCCTATTTTGCGGTCATCCTCCCCCATTTCAACGCAAAGAACTCCTTATCGCCGTGGAACTACAGGTAGCTCCAGCCGCAGTAGAGCTCGCATTAGTCGAGAGATTGGATCGTCTTGTAAGTGTTGTATCAGATCAATATACCTATTGATTGAACAAGCAGTCAGATTAAGAACATTTATTTGTGATTAAGATTGTGTTAAGCTGTAATAAAACATTTTTGTTGTATGTGTTGTAAATAAACATTGCATTTTACCTAACCTTGTTATTGATTAATTTATAATTTTTTTTAGCATCCCGACACAGGCGACATGCTATTTCTCCACCTTCACAACGACGGGCAGAGCTTACTCGTATTACCGAGAGGTTTTTGCGGGTGGAGGAACAGCAGGTGGAGATTCAGCAGGTTTATACGCGTGTTGTTCAAGGCCTTTTGGAACACAGTATCTCTACTCAGTCTCTCATATCTACTGGACATGAGAGACTCGTAGAAATTGTCACGACCATCGGGGAGCGGATAGTCGACCGGCTGTACGAGAGAGAAAGACTATTTGCGGAAGCAGCGTTGTCAATTGGCCAGGGTTTAAAAGCATTGGCAGAAGCTGCTAACGCTTTTAAACCACCACAATAAATTGACCAAATTTTAATTTTTAATATATGTACTTCCTTTTTTATAATTTAATATTATATTAGATATAATTTGTACCTTTAACTTTACCTTTATAATTTTTTCTAAACGTTTTACAATATAATGATATCCACTATAAATTTGTTTAATTTCAGTAATTTTTCTGGGTTTTACAGCGCTCCGAAGTTGACCGGAGTTGTTTTCATTTATTATCGACCCTTTTCCACACCACCTATGAGGCAGAGTCTAGAGGCGCGTTTTTTTTAACGTGGTATCCCCAGTAGGCCTAATCCATGGACAACTTGGCACTGTCAATATTATTTTTATGTTCATCCAATTTATTTTTGTCTCACGGTTTTTTGTGGTACAATTGCTTACTACAATCGAAGCTGGCCTCAACATCTACTAAGCTGGGAACATTAGGTACTATACGATTAGCAATGCCTTTTCACAAATGAAATAGTCACTCATGATGCATGCTTAAAGAAAGTCAAATAGTTATTACTTAATTAAAAAATTACATTAATTTATTGAATTAGAACTAAACTTACAATAATCCCACATCAAAAAAATAAAAACCTCTGGAAAATGTAACCATAAATGTAACTTTTCAATGGCCTAACCCAATAAGCATAATTTAAGCTAAGTAATTTGACGAGACCTCCATAATCTGTTAACTAAATCTTGCCTACGTAACTGGCCAAGAGACAACTCATTTAGATCGGGTATATCTATAGTTTGCCTCCTTTGCACCCTCGCTATTTCCTGTGATTCTGCTAGAATCTCGTGATCTGAGATCATGGGAGCTGGTAGCCCTGCACGATTACAAATGTTGTGTAAAATACAACATGCAATAACTATTCTTGCTACCTTATCAGGGTGGTAATTTAGTACCCTATGGACCAGCAAACACCTGAAGCGGCCTTTTAACAGACCTATTGTTCTTTCCACTGAGTTACGGGCAGTGGAATGAAGGCGGTTGTACAAANGGTTCTGGACCCCAACCACTCTTGGTGGTGAGCGTTAAAGTCTCCAAGAACCACCACCTCCGCAGATGGGTACTGCTCAAGCACGCGGTTAGTCCCCTCTTGCACATGCTCTATCAGAGCTGAACCTGCATCACTGCTGTGGGACCTGTACAGGCACGCGTAGACTCGGGTACAACCCCCGTGATCTACGCGCAGCCACAAGAGGAACAGGTCCCGTTGTTCGAGGCTTCGTAGACGGCGACAACAGACATCAGCCCGGACGAATACACACACCCCGGCTTTTCGCAGGAAGTTGTGCTCCAATACGTAGCCGGGGTATTCAAGGTACGAAGTATCATCCGGAGCAGATATCTGCGTCTCCGTCAGAAAAAGGAGGGCAGGTTGCGCCGTCTCAAGATGGTGGTGTACGGCGTCGAGGTTGCTATGTAGACCCCTTACATTGCTGAAATCCACATTAAATGTGGAATGAGGAATCCTTTTTCGAACTTTCATTATTATTATTTTTAATTTTATTTGGAGAGTGGGATTGGGTGGGGTAGGATGTTCGAGGCGAAATCGTGACAATACCTGAATAAAGCGCGGAGCACTACGTGCTCGACCACGGGTTGCGTGAGCGACTGACGCAGGGCATGGAAGGGCCCCCAGTCCACCCTGCGTGCGATCGCCGGGATCCACTCCGGTCTCCGACTCCGGCACGACGACCGCACGACAGGATTGTACACCGGTTGGCGGGACAGCACATGCGAACGATTTTTCCTTTTAATTTTTAATTGTTTGTGTTTTTGGTTATATTTTTTGCTGCCTATATCTATCTGTGTTTGTTTTTCTTGTTGTGATTTTCAAATTTTGTGTGAAGTCATAAGGTAAGTTTTCATTTATTTAATCTCGCATAGTCAATGCGGGCCGATCATGGAGGTTGACGATCGACCCCCTGACCGTTCCCCAGATCCTAGTTTAACCTGGAACGATGAGGGACAACATCCTCAGGGTGATTTTACATACTCACCAGACCTTACTGTACCATTAACTAGTTTCGAGTCGATTGAAGCACATCATCGTAAGCGAGCTCTCGAAACCAACAATGATAATGATTTTGCTTCGTCTACTTCCAAACAACAACGACCGTTAGCACCTAATAAGTATAGTCGCGAACGCTATTCTGCGAGGGATGTGGCTCCATTTTTGGTCCATGTTACTCGTACAGAATCTGACCCGAAATCGGGAACTACCCTCCACCCTATTAAGTTTGGACAGATGATGATCAAACTTAATATTAAAAATGTTCTTCCTGATGGAGTAAAAAAAATAGGTCGGAATAAAAAAGGATTGCTGTCCAGTTTAAATCTCCAGAGGATGCAAACTCATTTTTGGCCAACAAAGAATTGTTAGAAAATGGATACTCCTCATTAATCCCGACTTATAATATCACTAGGATGGGTATTATTAAGGGTGTGCCAGAAGAAGAGATAGCTTTAAATATTAAGACACCATCTGGTTGTGGCGGAATACTGAAGGTGAGACGCATTAATCACAAAGTTATTACTGATGGGGTACCAGAGTGGAAACCTACTTCCTCTGTGGTTCTTACATTTGATGGTCAGACCCTCCCAAAACGTGTCTTTTGCTGCTTTAATTCCCTCCCTGTAGATATATATTATTTCCCTACTGTACAATGCTTTGGATGCTGTAAATTCGGTCATACAAATACTCAATGTCGCTCAAAGCCCCGCTGTTTCCGCTGTGGTGATGAACACTTTGGCGAGAACTGCACTAAAGAGGACCCAACTTGCTTTTATTGCTCTGGACCTCACTGTGCTAATAGCAAGCAATGCCCTGAATACCAGAGACAAAAAAATATTAAAGTTGCTATGGCCCAGAACAACATCTCATATGCAGAAGCATCCAAAACATTCCCTACTGTGTCAAAGTCCTTTGCTGATGTTTCAGCATCAGTCCCTCCCACAACTCATATTATTTCTTCAGCCCCCTCGTCCTTACGTTTCCATCCTCAGACTTCCTCTTCCTCCTACAGAAAAACGATCCTCCAGAAGCCTAAAAGTCATGCCCCTCACGTCCCGGGCTATGATCAAAGAGCCCATAGAGCTATTACTAATTCCTACTCTTTTTCTCCCTCTGCTAATGGCTGCGCTCTCAGTAAAAATTCTTCTCCTTCTGAAGATATTCCCTCTAGTGAAATCTTCTCTTTAATTAAACTACTAGCTTCTCTTTTAACTAAAATTAACCTACCTGACCACGTTGCCAATGACATAATTGATACTATTTTTTATATTTATTTTTATGGTGGGACAGAGAATACACAGACCTTATTAAATCCCGGAAAGAAGCTGAATTTAATTACATCAAGAATATGACCCTCTCCAACCTTCGGGAATTTAACAGAATAGTGGCTAAATCCAAGCGCACATTCAAGAAAAAAAAGTATGAGAGTTGGAAAAAATTTTGTTCCTCTCTTTCACCTTCATCCCCGTCTTCCCTAGTCTGGCAAAATTATAAAAAATTTAGACGCGGATGCTTCCCTCAAAATTCTCCCAATATCTCACGGAGCATCGCCCTACAATTCATTAACAGATTGGCTCCTGCTTATGCTCCTCTTATTGATGAATGTCCCTCATTGGCAATTAATATGCTCGCTGTTGATCCTTTAGACGAACCTTTCTCCATAAATGAGCTAAATTCTGTACTTAAATATGTCCAGGACTCATCTCCTGGCTTAGATGGCTTTCCCTACTCTTTTTACAAAATGTCTGGTCATCATAGTCGTCAGTTCCTTCTAAATTTAATAAATACATGTTTTAATTTTGGTTATATCCCTGACGCTTGGAAATCTCAATTAATCATCCCCATTCTGAAGCCAGGCAAATCTCCTGATAATCCTGATCACTACCGTCCTATTGCACTCTCCCCTGTAATTGGTAAGATCCTTGAACATTTAATTAAAAATAGGTTGGAGTGGTATGTGGAAAGTAAAGGAATGATAGCAGACTCTCAGTTTGGATTCCGAAAGGGGTTCAGTACCTTAGATAGCATCGGCACCTTTATTTCTGATACGCGAATTGCCTTCAGTGAAAACCAGTCGGTTGTGGCCTGTTTCCTAGACATTTCATCTGCATACGACAATGTTCTTCTTTCCGTGCTCAGAAGTAAATTACGTGAGCTGAGTGTTCCGGTAAAGATACAACATTGCATATGTAATTTTCTGGCAGGCCGTACTGTTAGCGTACACATCCCTGGTGATCTTGTCCACACATCCAGGTTGCTCTGGAGGGGTCTCCCCCAGGGTTCGGTGTTGAGTCCCTTGCTGTACAACATTTATACATCTGATCTACATAAGTCACTCAACATCGGATGCCATATTTTACAATATGCAGATGACCTGTGCATATATACAGCTGTCCCATCCATAGTTGACGCTGGCATATCCATGCAAATATCCCTCAATTCTCTGAATCATTGGCTTTCTGCTCATGGACTCCAATTGTCAGCCTCTAAAAGCTCTGTTGTGGTTTTCTCTCGTAAGCGAGTTATACCGGATGTACATCTAGAAATTGAAGGATCTCCCATCAAGGTCGAAGATAATGTGAAATTCCTCGGCGTTGTCTTGGACTCTAGACTATCCGGTATCGCACATTTTAATTACACAATTAGTAAATGTGAGAGAAATATTAATATGTTGCGGGCTCTTGCGGGTGTTTGGTGGGGTGCCCATCCTATCACATTAAAACTCATTTATAATGCTACAATAAGAAGTTTATTGGATTATGGCTCTTTCTTATTAGACCCTTGCAACAAAACAGCATTAGCAAAATTGGATGCCATTCAATCAAAGTCTCTCCGCATTATATTGGGTTGTATGAAGTCCAGCCCAAGCAATGCCCTGCAGGTGGAGAGTGCCGACCCACCTCTTATCCTTCGCAGGCAGTATCTTGCAGATAGGTTTATAATTAAAGCATACTTCCATAAAAACCATATGATACTGCCAAAACTCATCCACCTAGATAGATTATATGGGAACGTAGATTACTGGAAGTATAAGGATCCCCCTCTTATTTTGAATTCTTTTAGGAAGATCCGTATGATTGAGGAAAGAACTCATGTCCAGCAGTGTAATAGATTCCCCAT